GAGGAAGAAGGTGGGAACTTGGTACGGCTGTCAATTGTCTTACAAATGATTAGGGTAAGGATGGATTTGGTGCTTGAATGCTTGATTGAGTTTTGCTGGAATTTGTTCTTGCTGTCATTTGGAAATTGATTTAGTGAGAGGATAAATTTGTAATTTTACTTTTAAAATTTTTTGGTTTATGCATTGTGCACCCGCCAGGTGTCGAACCGACGAATGCATGAATCATGGTTCAAAAATATATCATACCTAAGCAAAATCAAACTCATTTTCAAAGTAGTACCAATAGCCAAAGCAAAAAATCGAAAAAAAAAAAAATGAAGCAGATTACAAGAAGCTACACCAGGTGCCTACTTTTTGTGCTATTGATTGTCTCAGCATTTTCACGACTCTATATTCTTTTGCAAGGCATTAGATGAGAATATAAAGACAATCAAGGGGATTCTTCGTACTTTTGAACTGGTTTCAAGACTCAAGGTGAATTTCTTCAAAAGTGCCTTATATGGAATCAATGTGAAGAGCGAGGAGATCAGTGAATGGGCAGAATCTCTTAACTGTGTGGAGGGTTCTATCCCTTTCAAATACCTCGGAATCCCAGTCGGTGCTAACCTGAGAAACTTATCAACCTGGACACCTGTTGTTGACTGCTTGAGACGTAAATTGTCAAACTGGAAGTGTGAATCGCTATCCTTCTGTGGTAGAATCGTTCTCTTGAATGCTGCCCTATCAAGTATCCCAGTCTACTTCTTCTCCACCATGAGAGCCCCGAAAAAGGTTATTAAACTTCTTTCCTCTATTCAAAGATCATTCTTATGGGGGGGGTAAAGGGGGGGATAGGAAGATTGCATGGGTTAGTTGGGAGAAAGTATGCAATAGTATAAAGGATGGGGGATTAGGCGTTAAGGACTTGGATAGATTTAACATGGCACTCTTAGGAAAGTGGCGATGGAGATTGGTGGTGGAGAAAGAAGCTCTATGGAATAGGGTAGTTGAGGCCAAATATGGGATTCATAGAAGAAGGGATTGGGAGGGGAGGGAGGTGAAAATGAATAGCTCGTACTGGTGGAAGGCATTGTGGAAATTAGATAAAGAAAGAGGAAGTAATGAGGGATGGGTGTACAAGGGAGTAGTAAAAACAGTGGGGGAGGGGAATGATACCTTCTTTTGGCATGAGAAATGGTGTGGGGATGCGCCTTTTAGGGAGAAATTCAATAGATTATTTAGATTGACAAAAGATAAGGATGTTGTAGTTAAAAATATGGGTGAATGGAGAAATGGAGAAATGGAGAATGGATCTGGAAATGGAGTTGGAGTCGGGAGTTGTTAGGACGTGAAAATACCCTTGTGCAGGATCTTAACAGGCTTTTACATGGGACCAAGTTGGAACAAGGTCAACAAGACTCCTGGAGGTGGAATTATGAATCGAAGGGAACTTACTCAACAAAATCTGCATACATCCTATTAAAAAGCAGCAACAGAGAGACAGGCGCAAGAAGGTTTAGTATGCTATGGAACAATAAGGTGCCTCTTAAAGTCTCTGCATTTGTATGGAAAGTTATGCAAAATAGAATCCCCACTGGTGATAACCTATTAAAAAGAGGAATAGTTGGATCAAATAATGATTTTGCATGCATCTTTTGTGGCAAACAATCTGAAACAGTCAACCATTTGTTCTTCACCTGTGATGCAACCTGGGCAATTTGGCATGCAACTTACGCGTGGTGGGGAGTGCAGGCTGTCCTTACGTGTGAAGGCTGGAAGCATCTGCAGCAACACATGGGTATAGTGCAAAATAAGAAAATGAAGGAAATTTGGTATGTGATATGGTTTTCAATTATTTGGTCCATTTGGTTGTGGAGAAATCAACTGATTTTCAAAGAAGGTAATGACACTCCAGCTATGGTGGTGGACTTAATTAAGCTGCGTGCACTAAATTGGATTAGGGCCAAGCAAATAAGTACAGATTTGGCTAAGGAATTGTGGCTTGTGAACCCCAGGGAAGCATGTAGATGAATAGGATTTTTGACTGTTTTGCACTGGGATTGTATGGTATCATGTAAGATGATGTAGAGGGTGGAGTACCCCTTGTACTCTTATTTTATTTCTAATAATATACATTTTGCCGATCAAAAAAAAAAAAAAGATTGTCTCAGCATTTTCCTGCAGCAACTGCCTCTTGTTACCCTGGTTCAGGAAGTATCATGTGCAGGTGGTCAATGAACTGCAGGACGGAAAGTCCCTCAACGCGCACTGCAAATCAACGGACGACGATCTCGGCCAGAAAATCCTCTCTCCAAAGGGTGGCCATTTTGAATTTGGGTTTAAAGTCAATGCTTTTGCCACCACACTTTTCACGTGCGATCTTTGGTTTGATCAATTCCATACCGGCTTCAAAGCATTCGAGGCTAATTAATAATGAATTCGTAGACGATCGTTGCGGCAGTAGCTGGTGCGTTTGGAGGGCAAGAAATCATGGATTTTATTTGGTTCACAGAGAAACTGGTGCTGTTACGATTAAATATCCATGGGCATCATAAAAACCTAAATAATGTGAGTTCGAACCAGGTATATGTTGCTCGTTAAGAAGTTTGCCATGGGTTAAGTTTGGGAATTTGGAGTGGTCGAATAAATAGGTGGCCTGGATTTTAAGTATTGGATGCTTTTCACATTTTTATTATCTTTTTGTTTTTTTCAAATAACCGTAACGAATCACAACTATTGCATTTAAGTGAACACATACCTTCAAATAAAAGCAATTTGTGGGATACTATGGACTAGTCCAAACACAAATTTATTTTAAAAAATAAAAAAGACAGAGGAACTACTTTAAAAAGATATTGAACATTAGATTATAAAATAATAGCCATCAAATAAGGGGTTCTCTCATTGCACAAGAAAAATATTTAAATTTTAACTTGTGTTAGGGATAGTACTTAAAAGAAATTAATTTTTTTAACTACATTAAGTTATATTGGGATATGTAATCTTAAGATCATTTAAGAATAAATTAACTTTAAGGTGCAAACTACACCTTAATTAATAAAAAATAATAATAATAAAATGAGTGAATACGTACCCAACATTTACCCAACAAATAGTAGCTTTATTGGTAAGAAAATTCACTCTTCGATTTAATAATTATGGAATGATCCTCGAGAAAATTATTAAAAAGTAAATACTTTAAGAATATTTTCATCTTGGTATAACATACCTCTACCCAAACCAAAACAAGACTTTTTGTTCTATTTACCATTATTGGGGAATATTATGTTGTGACTTTCCCCTGTATTTGCAATTGTTTGGGTAAAAAGCGAGATACCTTTGTGTGAAAGCAAATTCTTGAAGCAACTTTAATATTCAACAAAAGCTAGGTAGCTCATGACCTCAATTAAGTAGTTCAATGGATAAAAACTTGAGATTTTAAGTTTGAAATCTTAAAATCGAATCTTTAGTAAAATAAAGAGGGATTTAAAAATAAAAATAAAAAATCTTCCCCTCTTATAAAATTTATAATCAGATATACCAAAAAAAAAAAAAAAACTAGCTAGCTCATATTAATTATTGCTTGATTGCTATCGAAAATTTCTGAAAATAAAATAAAATAAAGAAGAGATTTTTTGTATTTATTCGCAAAACGTTTTAAGGCTTAACCGCCTATATACAAGTGGGCATTTTTGTTTGGGATAGTGATTATTATTTTTTTAAATTATAAAAAAAAAAAAAAGAAATTTAAATCTTAATTTAGTAAAAAATTATCAAAATTAAAACTTCGTAATTCACGGTGGGCTCGGCAAAAAATACTTTAGTTTAGTATAAGACTATAGGCCGCCAAAACTTTGGGCACAAAAACGTCTAAGCCCAAAACTCGAATCAAAGAATTCCATCGGGTCGAGCCCAAGAAGGAAAGAAAAATCCATTTTTCACTTCTGAAAAAAAGAAAAAAAATGAAATAAATGCGATTTGTCCCCAAAGCCAAATCAATCGTCTTCTTCCTGTGCCTGAGAATCGAAACACAAAACCTTCTGTAAACACCATGGGTCAAGGAACGCCAGGCGGTCTAAACCGACCGGGTGACCGGAAGCAAGATGGCTCCGACAAGAAGGACAAGAAGTTCGAGCCGGCGGCTCCTCCTGCTCGTGTCGGCCGCAAGCAACGAAAACAGAAAGGACCCGAAGCCGCTGCTCGACTCCCCACAGTTACGCCGCTCACTAAGTGTAAGCTGCGACTTCTGAAGCTGGAGCGTATCAAGGACTATCTTCTGATGGAAGAAGAGTTCGTAGCTAATCAGGAGCGACTCAAGCCGCAGGAGGAGAAAGCTGAGGAAGATCGATCTAAAGTCGATGATTTGAGAGGGTCACCGATGAGTGTGGGGAATCTGGAGGAGCTGATCGATGAGAATCATGCGATTGTGTCGTCGTCGGTTGGCCCCGAGTACTACGTGGGGATTCTGTCCTTTGTTGACAAGGACCAACTGGAGCCTGGTTGTGCTATTTTGATGCACAACAAGGTACCTAAATACCATGCCTTTGTGTTTGCTCATCATTTGATATTTTGCTGTTAATGGTTTTAGGGATAATTTGATGAGAGATAGATAGGTGCTTGTTTCCTGGTTTTTTAGGTTTAGCTTGCTGGTCATTTAAATGTAGAATTTTGTTGTTGAAACCTCTTCTGCTTTGAATTGGGTCTCTTACTATTTGCCAATTTCGGATCTGTTAACTGTTATAGCATTTTTATGTTCTGGAGCTAGTAATTAGTTAAGAATAAGGAATTTTCCTTGATCCAGTATGCGAGTTCTTTGGATCCTATGGTTTTAGCCATTTCTGTGTTAAAGAATTGTTAGAAATAGCTGTAGACAAATCTTTGTCTCAATTTGGTGTTTATGGAATATGGGAAGGTACCATTGCTTCTTCCAATCTAGTCTTGCCTTAAACCATAGGTATCCCTTACAAGTTTAAGATTTGTTAATTCCATCGCATTCTATTTATTTTTTAATAGAAATTTATGCTCTATATTGTTTAATTTTCTATTCTTAGGTTCTCTCTGTTGTTGGGATTCTGCAAGATGAAGTTGATCCAATGGTGTCAGTTATGAAGGTTGAAAAGGCTCCATTGGAGTCTTATGCTGATATAGGGGGTTTGGATGCCCAGATTCAGGAGATTAAAGAGGCAGTTGAGCTACCTTTGACTCATCCTGAACTTTATGAAGACATTGGTATTAAGCCTCCTAAGGGTGTCATATTGTATGGAGAGCCAGGGACTGGCAAGACCTTGCTTGCAAAGGTGCATCATGCATGCTCTCTCATTTGTTTATCCATACGATTGATATATGTTTGATCTTTGCTCCATCTTTCCAAAATAACATTTTGTAACTGGCAACATTATAGTAGTGCCTGCAGTTTTCTTACTTGTATAATTGACTTTTTGAATCTTAAGTCATTCTAAGAGACAATTAAACAGTGAATGCCAATGCTACTGAACTGATACCTGGCCTCTACCTTATCTTATGTTTTCTTGATGACAAGGTTCACTTAGTGCTTGATTGAAAGCCTGAATCATGGCGTTAGGAGATCCTAAATTGGCTAGGTTTCCACTATATTTATGGGAAATTAGGTATTATCAATACTTATTTGCAGGGTAGGCCACGACTGATTTTCCTGGAGTATTATATTAAGAAACTTTCTCAATGGCTAAGTTATGACTTTCCTTTGTGTTTTTCAATGACCACTTAATTATTCATTTTTTTACTGCCTTTTGTCGTGTGTCTTTGAATTGGAGTCAAAGAAATGTATTTGATTCCTCCAAGAGGCTTGAGTTGGCAATTAGTAAGTGTTAGAATGTTAAATAAGCCTGCAAAAGAGAGAGAAAATGTTAAGTTGTACATAATTTTGGGTAATTTATAGGAATATCTGTTATCCTTAAAAGTTATATTCAGGTGTTTAGACTTTAGAATAAGTCATTTAATGCTTGGTGCTTCTTTTTGGTTTTTAGCTATTTTGATTTGATGATGGAAATTTGATTGCCCCTGTACACTTATTTTTGGTGGTTTTCCCTGTATACATATAGAAAATCTGAGCTTCTATATGTCATTTGTCTTTTCCAGGCAGTGGCAAATTCTACATCAGCAACTTTCTTACGTGTTGTTGGTAGTGAATTAATTCAGAAGTACTTGGGAGATGGTCCAAAGTTAGTGAGAGAATTATTCAGAGTTGCTGATGAGCTCTCACCATCAATTGTCTTCATTGATGAAATTGATGCTGTTGGTACTAAGAGGTAAGTTAGTGAAACAATTATGGGTTGACAGAAGGAATACATTGGAATATTTTTTGATGAATTGGCCCTCAGGTATGATGCTCATTCAGGCGGTGAACGTGAAATTCAGAGGACAATGTTAGAATTGCTGAACCAGTTAGATGGTTTTGATTCAAGAGGAGATGTCAAAGTGATTCTTGCAACAAATAGAATTGAAAGTCTTGATCCAGCTTTGCTTCGCCCTGGTAGGATTGATAGGAAGATTGAATTTCCTCTTCCTGACATCAAAACAAGGCGGCGCATATTCCAGGTATTTTTGGTATTTCATGATTATATCGTGGCAACTGATTGAAGATGTTTCACGAGTGGTTATGTTAAGCAATCTTCAAAATCTATGGACACTGCAGATACATACGTCAAGGATGACATTGGCTGATGATGTCAACTTAGAAGAATTTGTTATGACTAAAGATGAGTTCTCTGGAGCTGATATAAAGGCAATATGTACCGAAGCTGGTTTGCTTGCTTTAAGGGAACGTCGAATGAAGGTGAGGCTTCCTTGATAATCAGATTTATGCGTTTCCTTTTTATCTTAATCTAGAGTCAAATGCTCATTTTAGATTTCCTTAAAACTTGGGACTAAATCGAAATTCTGTTCTTCAGGTTACACATGCAGACTTTAAGAAAGCCAAGGAAAAGGTGATGTTCAAGAAGAAGGAAGGTGTTCCTGAAGGACTCTATATGTGAAAGGCTTCTTTTTATTTTCCATTGTTTATTTGGGGAAGAGGGTTTATTCGAGTCTGCTCTGCTACCTGTTTTTCGAAGATACTTCTGCATCCTTCTCTCATTCTGGATTTAACTGCTTGTAATTTAAAATTTACTTTTAAGAACATGTTGACATTTTCTTTTCAGACTATTTGAGCAGTATGGTATCACTAAAACACTGTCTTCAGAATTAAAATTGAGGGAAAGGAATGGAAAGAGGAGGGAATGAAATCAAAGCAAATTTCACCACCTTAGCTTTATTTTCTTGATGTCATTTTTTGAAACTATATTTTTTAAATACCGGCTTACACACCCACCATGCATGATGTCTGATTTTTTTCTTTTGTTTTTAGGAAAGCTTGTTTTATTTTAGCTATTTGATATTGTGATTAATGGTGTTCAATATAGACTGGACTAATTGCATTTTTAAAATATTGTTAAAGTATTGAAATTATTAAATTATTAATAATAAAATAATATAAAAATAATTTTATTAAAAATATTTTAATAAATTTATATATTAGATTGTGTTTTAAATATGCAGTCCAATATGTAAAAGATTAAACCCTCTTTTTGGTCCCTCAACTATTGTACAAACTCTTGATTGAATCCGTAAACTCAAAAAATCTTGGATTTGATCCCTATTGTTTACCATTTTAATCCCGACTTGGTCCCTTCATTAAAAATCACATGATGTGTACTGTTAACTAATAGAAGTATAATGATCTGTCAAAATATTAAACCTAGTGGAAAGATAGCGTGGCAAAAAAATAATGATTTGGCAATAAAAATTTAAAATTTTCTCTTTCTCCTTCCTATTCCTTTCCTTGCCTTCTTCATTGATCAATTCTTCAT